GAAGACCCAGCGATTCTTCAAGATTTGAACATCTTTGGGGCGTTCGAGCAGCGCCTAGGAATACTTTTTCTCTAAAGAATCAAATTATTCTTTATGTGCCTTTTACCACTTCTCTCCCAGGAGACTGCAGCACTTCAGTGTAGGATTATGGTTTGTTTTCTTGTGGATTAACTTGTTTTCAGAGAACGACGATCCGGCCATGTAGACAAAATCCCCGTTGGTCATATACAATGGTTTCTTCGGTTCACGTTCACATTTTCTTGTTGGCTCTTCTTCAGCATCTTCTTCAACTGGAACATCACTTCCTTCGGAGCTGGACTCTGACGCAATTTCTTCAGCTCCACTCCATTCTTAACCCTTTTCAACGTCGTTGATTTCTTCTGGCTTTCGTTCACCGTATCATGCGAGTTTTTCATATGAATCTTCAAGCTGGTCAGTATTGCCGCGCACATTGCAAACAACGTCAGGCTCTATTCTCACGTCGTGGCTCAAATCTATCTTCTTTTGAATCAGAATCCAGACCCTGAATCCATCCCTGTCGTTCATGAATCCAACCTGATGTCCATGAACAGCTTTATCACCGAACTCAGCGCAGTAGTTGTAGTTTATGTGCACGTAGCATCCAAAAAATATACAAATGATTGACACTTCCTACTGGTCGCCCATGCCACAATTCATAAGGAGACAGTTTCAATGGAAGGTATGTGGCAGAATGCATGCTTCTGTGCACAGTTGTTTTAGAAACTTGCTTGGATTCAACATGGAATGCGCGCACTCGACAATGGTTCGATATTCGCGCTCGGCAACACCATTTTGCTGTGTTGTATACGGCGCATAGTTCTAGTTTAGACGTATAAAAAAACAGTACGTGTTCTTCGGACGTTCAATTTATGATGCACGCACTAGAGAATACGATTCACACATGGCCTGGGCCCATGACCTATGTTTTTAAATGATATTTTATTGCCCATCTGCAATAGAAAAAGTAAAAGTATTCATAAACGTCCGAAACAAAGTAAGCCGAACACGCACTGACCCGACAGACCAATCCAACCAGTTCTTAGTTCCAAAAGATCTAAGAAAGTACACTGACGGCGTCACTGTCTGCATTTTTCTTTTCATATTGACAGAAGGCGATTCCTCCATCATTCATTTAAGTGTCCCTGGTTTTATCCGTGGAAACATTTTAAAAGAAAAAAATTGGGGCGGTTTTTGAGAAAAGAGTGTTTGTAGTTCTTTCTATAATTTGCAATAACTTTAACCAGTAATACTACTCGTGCTTTTAAAAAAATAGTACATGGCTTGTTTTTAAAGTGCTGATTTTTTAATAGATTTTGTTAAAACAACAATTTCTATCTTTAAGTTTGTAATGTTGAAATGTTAATTGTTTTGCAATTTTTGAAAATATATGCCGAAAATGGGTCCAACGCCATAATTTTTACCGTCCTTTGATACATATGAGAATTGAGATGATACATACGAACTGAGCGAACCATCAACGCGAGGCGTCTTCACAACGAACAAAGTGCAAAAGAGTACAGTGAGAGCGAAAAGACTATTCTCGACATTGCCGTTTTCATGCATGCGGAAGTACTAGCTATCATGGAAATTCTGAGTCGTCTGTTTAACGATCCGATTGACAGGGAGGCTCTACAGCAACGCATTCTCCACATCAGAAAAGTTTGAAACTGTGAGATATCAATATGCTCAATAAATACTAGATTTTATTGCCATAATTTCACTTTTTTCTTCCATAAAATTCTTATAATTATTATTGTTAATTTTTTGATAAATTATATATGAAAGTATGGGGAGTGAAATTTCGAAGTTCCCGCGTAGCTGGTTTATTTCAAATATACCGGTTGCTTCTTCACTACTGGCTGTCCGTTTGTCCAATAGAAATTGTACAGAACAATGTGGAGGCAACGGAAGTCAAGCAAATAAGGCTTTCCCATTTCACATTGACTGCAGTTTCTGATACATACTCTTTGGGTTGTACAAACATGGCTGCCTTGCAAACTCATTGAATGAGGCATTGGCTTCATTGGAAACCTCTGAGGCCAACTCTATGAAGGGGGCGTCACTTAATAGGGATTTTTAATGGGCATTTCACTTAATTTTAATTTATTTTCATTTAATAGGCATTTCTTCAATCCATCGTTCAAGAAAAGTTGTGCGAGTATAATAATAATAATAATAATAATAATAATAATAATAATAATAATAATAATAATAATAATAATAGGGCATTCAGAGAGGCACTAGAGCAGAAGAGAATAGCGATATCAAGAAAATGAAGAAAATACTGCAAGGAAATTTAAACCGCAATAGAATTGCCTCGGATCTTCTCGATCAGCTAATCAACGAGCTGAAAGTAGACATTCTGATGATATGCGAGCCGTATAGGGACAAGAGCTCCACAGTATGGTTTTCTGCTGCCTCAAGTACCGCGGCCATCTAGATTCCCGACACTAGTCGTACCCACGCCGAACGCCATGGAGCAGGCCCGCACTATGTACGGGCGAAGATAGATGGAATAACGTACGTGAGCTGATATCTGTCCCCAAATGACACCATTGAAGAATTCCGACAGAAACTCGAAAAACTTGAAGACTGCCTAACAGACATCCAGACGGAGGTTGTAGTGGCCGGACTTTAACGCCGAGGGCACTGGCATGCCTCGAACGGACACCGAGAGGACATTGTACTCTTGGAAATATGCCGCAGACATGGGCTTGGATAGTATCAACAAGTGGTCCACTCCAAACCTACAGAAGAAAGACCCGCGGTTCGGAAACTCTATCTCCTAGACATCACGCTCATGTCGGCGAGAGACTAGCGGCATAAGGAGCAAGGCTGCGATCATTGAGGACTACGCCGGTAGCGGCACGCAAATATTTATTATTCCAGAATACTTGGATAAGGAAAGACAGGGATTACACGTGAAGATCACTCACCAGACGGTACAACGAATGGACACGCCGGCAAAAATGGACAAAGGAAAACTACAGACGAGCGATCCAGGATGTCTGAGTATGTCTATCCGCCAACTGCCGGTAGGACCCGGACAAGGCACAAACAGTACCCTCGTAGAGGCAATCATGAACCTTCATTACGCAAAGCATGCACAGCCTCTATGCGCCAGTAAAAGAAAGAGAACACGAAAACGCCGGCTTTATTGGTGACCAATAAATAGCAGAATTACGGGCAACCATTTGCCTAAATCAATCCGCAGAAAAGCACAACGAGCCCCACAGAACCAACCCGCGGAAAAGGCCCCAGCCCCAAAGCCGGGTTTTTTTCACAGGGGGGAGCACAAAACCTGCGAAACGCCATCAGAGCAGCAAAACCGAGTGCTGGGAAAAAACTAGTGCGCGGACGTCGACACTGACCCTGGGGATGGGTAAAAATTGTCACCAGAAACTAAGGGCCCTTGTGAACCACGTCTCCCTAGCCCAGAGAAACAGACGACATATGGAAGCTCTCTTTCCCAACGCACCCAAGTGAAGCGAAGAAACGATATAACCGGGGAGTAGCGTACGTACATACCTCAGCAAAAGGAGGACTAGTAGCGGCAGGTAAGCTCCCTAAAAACTTAAGAAGACACCTGGACCGGATGGCATACAGGCGGAAGTCTATAGGCGACTGTGAAACCAACCGACAACTGCTATTCAGACTGTACATCACTTGTCTCCAAAGCAGGTATATTGTAGCACTCGCTGGAAAACGCGCGACTGGTCACTCATAAGCAAGGGCAAGGCCGACATGCACACGCAACAGCGTACAGACCTCTCTGCATGTTAGATATGTGCGGGGAAAAATCCTCGGGAAAGCTCCAACGGGTTGTTGCGGCTACGAAAGCTGCAGAATCTGTCGCACCAACAGCAGGGTTCAGATGAGGGCGCTTTCCAAGATCAGGATCCATAGGGTGTTACCAGAGCCGTCGCGAGCACACGAGGCATGCACGCGGCGCCCAATCGTCCTTCTGTGGACCCCGAACGTCAAGAATGCGTTTAACTCGCAAGATGGGCGTCATCCTACGCAGCTGGAAAAACACTTTCAATTCCCAAAACCTTCCATATGGTAAGGGGGACTACTTAAGACGCGTACATTCCTATACGAGACAGTAAGCGGGCAGAAATCCAAGCCAGTCTCCGCCGGTGTTGCTCAGGCTCAATACTAGGACCAGATTTCTGGAACCGCAGTATACGACAGTTTGCTAGGGACAGAGGATGCCGGGAAGGCACTCTGTCACTTAGCAGTAGTCGTAGCGACAGTACAGTCAAATGCTTGTACGGAGCTGAGCAGGTATAGGGCCGAAACATTGACTGTGAAAAAACTACAGAATACGGATCACAAGCTGTTCAGCGTAGGGGAGGCACTGAGGGTACATGCTCTTACCGAACAAGTCTCCGCAGACGCCCCCTTGTGGATCTGCGAGAGCAATACCGATCGACCTGCTCCGCGGAGGCCGCAAGCGAATTTATGACAGGAGCGCAGGCGACGGGCAGAGCGAAAGCGGCACACGAGGAGCGGAAGAGACAAATGGAGCAGCTGGCCAGGAACGCCTTGAAACGACGGGTCCAAAGGGAGGTGCGACAGCGCCGACTTATTAGAAGTTACTGCCATGGGTTGCAAACGGAGTTTGGGCGAAGTGAACTCTACTCTCCAGTTCTGACCAGGACACGGCTAGCTTCAGAGACTCTATTACCGCATGGGGAGGGGTTCAAAACACCTCACTGTAAGCACTGGGTGGAAATCAATATGGACACTGGCCGAGCGCACACCTTTTCCCAGTGTACAACCGGAAAGAAAAAAAACTCTATAACTAGAGGAAATACGACAGGTAGTCTCACGCCAGAGAGACTATTATACAGTAATATTCGTCGACCCTGCTAAGAATGAGAAGTCCTGGAACGCATTTCACTCATAGCAAAGCGCGTTCTCGGGGCAAAGGACAGAAGAAGGGCTGTCTAAGCGGATAGGCGTAAGGACGGAACATGAGAGGCATCCTAGAATCGGCCCAGCCTGAAGTAATGCGAAAGCGTCCCAGGCTGAGGTCAGAAGAAAAACAGGTGTATTTTTTTAGTGAGGTTCGCGCTAGCAAGAAGGTAAGTCGCACACTGTTTAGAGCAACCGTCCCGCTCTTCGCCTTTTGAAGGTTTTTTTCCACCTGGTGCAATATATAAGCAATATAATAATAATAATATATAATAATAATAATAATAATATATAATAATAATAATAATATATAATAATAATAATAATAATATATAAAATTATATTAATTATATATATCATTATTATTATTATTATTATTTATTATTTATTATTATTATTATTATTTAATTTATAATTATATTATTGAGTCACAAATACAATTAATAATGTGTATGACGAGTCAATATGATGCACTTGGTGGAAGAACGAAGTTAACATTACTGTTCCAGGAGCAAACAAGAGCCATCTCAGCATTTAGCTCAAGGACCAGGGAAACTGAACAAAACCTGATCGACGATGGGTCATTGACCCTAGAAATACAATACGCTGTTACAGTTAGATTGAAGATTTTATACAGTAAAAATTATCTGCTAATAATTAACATTTCCAATATTATTTTAATGGCTAACTACTTATAATAATTATATTATAATAATGTACATTAATAATTTACATTAATAATAATTACATTAATAATTACATTAAGAATACATATAATATATGTTCTTGCAACTACAATAAATTTAACCAAATAGTAGTACATTCTATATTTATAACTTGAAAAATGTGAGGAGGCAAGTTTTGAACCGCTTTTGTTCTTCTATCTTTCTCCTTCTATTTCACAGGATGTGGAGTATGCAGTTCTTTTTCTTTGCTTCAGCTTGAAACAGTTCACAGTGAAAATAGAAAGTCTAATAGATAAAGAAATTCTTATTTATTTATATTTTTAAGGGAAATGTAATTTGAAAATTCCTTTACACTGTAGAACATGTTGTTAAGCATGTAATATGTAGTAATATGACTCATAGGAGAAAGAACGTGTTCTGATTTTTTATATTTTTGGATTAAAATAAAATGATAGGCAGTAATACTGTTTTAAAACACGTGGCAAAAATGATTTTATTTTGCTCGTAGGATTGGGGCACCTGATATATTGGGCCTTGTGATGCTATCTTTCCAACTCGCAAAACACAATGGCTCTTGTAACATAACTATTTGTTTTACCTGGGTGAATGTGCGGTAATGTTTTTATTTGTTTCTTTTCAACACTGTTGGTATTGTTCATATATAATACTCTGTAACAATGTAATATTCCTTAGCATTCACATTAATTTGGCCAGTAAAGTTGGCCATAGGCCATAGCCATAGGCCAGTAAATTTGCATTTGAGCTGGTGTACTGTGTTTTATTGCCTTGTGTAATACAAATTTGTTAATTCTATTGAAATTGTGAAATAATATGCTCAATAAATACTAATTTTTACTGCCCTAATTTGACTCTTTTTCATCCATAAAATCCTTATAATTATTTTAGTGAATTTTATAATAAATGTAATAAAGTCGTGAAAATTATGGGAGTGAAGTTCCCGCGTTGCTGGTTTATTTCAAATTTACCGATTACTTCTTCGCTATTCCGTTTACCCAATAGAAATTATACAGAACAATGTGGCGGCACCGGAAGAAGGGCAAATAAGGCTTTCCCTTTTAATATTGAATGCCGTCACTTATATATACTCTTTGGGCAAAGGCGCTTTTGTTGGTTATAGGCGTTTGTGAGGTTATTGTCGATTCCCCATAGTCAATTGATATTTACTTGTGCGCGAGTATCAGTTACTATAGTGTTAATCTTTTTTGAAAGTACAGCTTTTAATCCAAGATATAAAATCAATGAAATGACCGGGTATTGCGCAAGTAGACTAGTGACTGGAGTTCTGGGATGGAATGGACATTGTTTACGTGCACCAAGTACAGTACCTCTAATCCTTCAAATAAGGGTAAAAAACGAGTAAATACGTTATTCTTCCCCTTTTTTTCAGGCACGTTAAATGTTAATTTTTGTTTTCTTAGAATACTTTTATTCTTCAACGACGTACGCCACCTGGATTGACGAAAAAGAACAAGCGACCGAAATTGAGATCGCGTCATTATGTTTACGATTTAGTTGAAGATACAAATTTGAGAAAGCAGGAGAACTTAAATGTTATATTAACATCTTACGTCCAAGGTAATGTAGCATAATAATTAATGGGATTGGGTGTTTCACCGGAGTTACCAGGAAATCATTGACCCCCTTAAAAATTTTGAAAAGGTCCTTGTAACCTTGTCATGAAACGTTTTATTTCAATAAATACATTCAATCCCCGGTATATGTACACACACACATTGTTTCAGGCTTTGCATACCTTTGGTATTGAGATAACGTAATTATAACCCACATATGGGTAATTAGAGCCAGAGCAATTATGAAGTTTGTCCAAATCCAGACATTTCCTAGTTTAATACCTTGCCACTTTCAATAAATATGTTTTAGTTCTGTAAACTTATTTGAAGGCTGTGGAATATTTTATCATTTATGTTGGATGTATGAGGTGTCATCAGGTGTCTTCAGTTACAGAATCACAGGTTAATTTGCAATTTTCTTCATTATATAAGATTAAAAAAAACAAACTTTTTGGAGCTTTGAGCCTCTCAGTAGCTTGTCGATATACTAACCAATTGGACATGATCTCTGGTTTGATTTTCTTCTGGAGAAGTGAGATTTAGAACAATTTGAATTGAACAATGAAGAATATTGGCTCAGCTTGCAACACTATAACCAGCTTAGCCTTTGTTTGCCAGGAAGAGGGAGAAAATCTTAGGGTACTCCTTAGTTGTATATTGAATTTTTTCTGGACAGAATTTTAAATTTAATAAGTTTTTAATTATTCTTGAAAGTTGGTTTATTTATATTTTCTTTTGTTACAAATGTTCGGGATTTATTTTCTTTTGAAAGAAGTACTCCCAAGTAGCTGGCCTGAATGGTGGAGATAGCTAAGGCAAGTCTTGGACAGAAGGGCTGGTGGTTTGAATCCAGTGCGGGTGTAGACCTGTACTCTTTCCCACCTATCATGCGACAACTTTCCATCATTATCTTTTCTTGGCCTGCTTAGTTGATGTAGGAGTATAGGTTGTGTGTCATGTACATGCTTCACCTGGTGGTGTCATATTTTACTGCATGACACTCCACTGGTACTAGTGTGCGGCTAGTGACACCAGGTTACATGCTGTATGACCTTAAGGGTCCAAGTGGAATGCCACCTCAATGCAGCCATGGATCTCTCTTGTCTCTAATAACAAATTAAGCATGTTAAAGTTCTGGATATATAATATAGGAGATATAGTGAAACAGCTTGATGCACTGTGGTTTCTGCACATGATATCACTGTTGAGTTTTCATTTTTATGTTCTGTTCGAATTCCCTTCGTTCATACAAGCTTATGTCTCACACTTGACACAAGACATAAAAAAAATACTCACATAAACACAATCATTTATCCCTATCATTTCTTTGTGAAGCATAAATAAATAATTTGAAATAAACAAAACATCAGTGTTTTAAAATAAACACTAACTATTTTTTCCAATATTAATGTGTAACATACTCATTAAGGTAGGCACTACTCACACGACTCATTTTATACATTATTAGTGTAATGAGGATTGTTTTGTACTAAGATGTTAAATAAAAATACTCTTTCAGGTTTGGGTGTCAAAGGGGATAGGGTATCTGTTAAACCCAAACTGGCTTATGAGAAATTGTTGCTGCCAGGATTGGCTGTTTATGCCACTCGTGAAAATGTAAAAATGTATGAAGAATCTGTAGACAAAGAGGAAAAGACGCAAGCATTCAGCTCTGCTTCAGTGGAGAGGGTTTGTTTGTTACTATACTTTATTATATAAGGAATAAGTATGTTTAGCTGTTTTAATGTTCACTTTTACTTTGAAGACTATAGGTATTTTGTCAAGACAAATTTTGGCTGTAGTTATGAATTTGGAAACAGAATGGACCTTGCAACCATGGCATCTACGAATATCGTTTAGGAAAGCTGGATTTATAGTTCCTGAATATGCAATAGAATTGCCGGAGGAGCCAATTAAAGGACCAAACTTGGATTTGGAAGGAAAAGAATTTAAGATAACAGTCACTGTAAGTGCACTAATCTGTAGCATCTTCCATTTTGCGTTTGAAAGAGCTTAATAAATGTCATTCCTTTCAGATAAACAAATCTGAAACAGTTCCTGTGAGATGTCGCATCCATCATTGGAGCACCAATCCAGGGGATAGATTGCCATATGTGCAAGATCACTGGCAACAAACTGCAGAACCTTTGTTTTCAGACAATCAAAAAACTTTCCAATCAGATCAGTAATCAAATATATTTTGAATAGATTTTAAATCTTGGAGAAATGTTGTTTAGTGACCAGTTTCAAGTAGTCATCAGTACTGAGAACATAGCATTATATATGTAGGGAATATTGATTGTTTGGTGCCAAGTGTATATCTGTTGTTTAACATAAAAAAAAAATGAAATACCAAGAATGTAAAACGCTCAAAATATATATTATTTATGTATATTGTTATTCACCACTTTTTTTTAAATTTGAATATTGCCTGTCTAGTTTGAAAAAAATTAAAAACATGTAATGACTAATAAATTTGCAGAATGCAAATCAGTTTCATTATATTTGAAGTAAAATATCATTAGTAGATCTACTAATCCATAAACACCTTGTAACTTCTATAATTAATATTAATACACTGACATGGTTAATTTATTTATCCACATAATTATGTGAAGTCAAATGTTACTAAATAGAGATCATTTTCATAATAATTATTGTTACAACACTTTACTCTCCCATTAATTATTGTTAACTTGCACCTGTCATCTTTCCTTGGATGAAAAGGTGGCAATTTAGCCTTGTCCATATAAATTATATATCATATATTATCATATATTATCATATAGCATAATATTTACCTATTTAATTAAAAAGTTGGTTTGAAGAAATGCTTTCTAGGCAAAAATTTGCATTGCAGAAGCATAGAAACACTCCAGGAACATGTAATTTTTTTTATTATTTACAAAAGAAATCAATGTGTTTGTTCCAGTGTTGCCAGAATAACCAGGATTTTAATGAATAATACCATACTAGGATGAAGACATCCTGGTATGTTTAAATACCAGAATTTTATGTCTACGATAATTGATGATCAATTCATGATTCGTTTTATATTATGTATCTCAAGCAAAGCAATTTTGACCCCCCCCAAAAAAAATATTTTCAGCTGTATGTAATAAATACCATTTGTTACCATTAGAAACAATTCAGTGGGCTTTGACTTCACTTTGGTTGACGAGAGCCTGTTTCCCAAATCAATACAGTAATATTTCGGTTTCCTGTATAGGGACGACTTCACAAATTCACATCAAAATTATAAATTTCTGTACAAGCATAAACTTGGCATTTTCATGATTTCATTGAAAAAATTACATATTGTAGACTTTGCAGTCAACCAATTGTTTGTTGGTGGTAGCAGATATCTTGTGGTAATCCATAATGAGAGATAGGAAATAATCATTGGCAATAAAGTATAATAATTGTATTAATTATTACATTCCCACAGTTAACTTTAGGAAAACACTTTCCCCATCCTCAGTGGGTCTCTAGCAAGGAGGAGAAAATTGAAAAAATTAACATACGCAAAAGGAAATACAGTGAAATTATATGAAAATCAATCAAAATTTATCAAACTACTTGGCTTATGTATAACACATAAATTTTTCACCTTCAATAACAGTTTCTGTTCCCACACAGAAGGATTAGTATGAGCTCCAACGTTTCCCCTCTTTTTGCTGAACTGTTTGATCGTTTTGAGGAAAACACATTTAATAGCTTGAACCTTCTCATTTTTATCTCCTCATATTATTTATTTTTACAGTTGACAGTATTTTTACAAGTTGATGACGTATGTCTTTAGTCAGAAACTTCTAGGTAATTGAGCCAGCTTTTGGAAGTTCTTAATTCATTTCACCCCAAATTCAAATTTGCTATGGAAATTTAACATAACCATACCTTAAATTTCCTTGATTTAACCATTACTATTATAAACTTGAAACACAATTTAAAATATTCAGAAAACCCACTCATACAGACTCTATCATCTCTTCGTATTCCAATCATAAACTCCATCAACTTACCATAATAACATTCTCCAGGTTGACAGATATAGATTTTAATAATGAAGTCAATACAATTCTAACCATTGCATTAAATAACTGTTTTGATCCTCTGTCTATCAATAAACTTATCTACCGAAAAGGTGTAAAAATAATTTTGAATTCAGTTTTTCCTCAACATTGCTCTGTAGAACCCAAGGAATTCATTTGCATCCCCTACATAGGTCCAGCATCTAAATGTGTAAGCCAATGCTTCACTAAACACAAGATTTCAGTAGCTTACAAAACTTCTCCAATCTTTATTCTCTAGTTCCAAATCACCTATCCCACTCATTGAAAGAAGTGGCATTTATCACCTTGTAATAACTGTGATTCAGTCCATGTAGGCCAAACAGGCCGAAAATTATCAGTTAGAATTAACGAACATATTAGATGTTTGAAACAAAATTTAGATACTTCCACCTTTGCCAATCTTTTGATTCAATTTAACCATTCTTTTGATCGTAATTATAATTTTATAATCTTTCACTTAGTCGACCAAGGCAGAAAAATGAATGTTTTGGAGAACTTTGAAATTCTAAAACTTTTCAAAAATACTAATTTTTCTATCTTGACTAAACATTCCTTAATTTTTTTTTTTTTTTTAATTTCTTCACCTAGACAACTTGTTTAAAATATGTCCTTTTTGTAATTTAAAATTGTGTATTAACAATTTTATACTGTAAATTTCTGCACTGTATTAACATTCACTTATGAAAAGCTGTCAATTTTAAATCTGTGTATTGTTTATGACTACCCCTCCTACTCTTCTGGTTCTCCCCTCCCACATTTGGTAGGCATTCTCTCCTTTCCATTTCAAACAATGGCCGCCACCTAGCCGTACCCAGCATATTCTTCAGTTTTCATATTTTTTCCGACCATGTTGTGAACATTTGTAAGTAATCCACGTTGCTTGGGCAGTAAGTATTTTGAATTTTATTTATTTATTATTTATTTCATAGTATTTGTTAATTTTTTTCACATAAAGTCATTCTATTTCCTTTTGCTCCCGTTTTTTTCAATTTTCTCCTCCTTGCTAGAGACAGACAGACAGACAGACAGAGGATGGGAAAAGTGTTTTCCCAAAAATTAACTCTTTGGGAATGTAATAATTAATAAAATAATTATACTTTATTATTTCCTACCTCACATTATAACAAATTTTTATTCGCTTACAGATTTTGACTTGCTCAAGTGTGTGGTGAAATAGTTAAATGGTTAATTATTAGATTTTTTTTTAATTCTCAGGTTTATGATCCTTTACTAATGGAACTGAAACAATTATCACTTTTGAGGGTTGTATGTATCAAGGAGTTACAAATAACAGTCCTAACTCGGTGATCCTGGTTTATTGAATTGAACATGGACATTTCATACAATACATTTATCTCATTAAAGCTTCGACCTGAACTGAAGTTAAACTACAATCTGTGTGTTCTCAAAACCCCTCAGAATTGAAGATTTATTCTCAACACTCCTTCCCTTGAAAATGACGTGCATAAACCCCACATAACCTGGTGTGTTGCAAACTAGTCGATTGTGTGGGACCCAATAGAATAGGCTGTTCTGCAGGAATCCTTTTGTCAGGATTTCGAACTGAATTATGTAGCATCCCGACTTCCACTTAAATGATCTCGTCCTAGTTCAGCTCTGAAAATCCTGGACCTTCTCTTCTTCTGGACTATGTAGGTCTTGCTCTGTAACTGATGTCAGTTCTTCTTGGATATGAAGTCTGAATTCTTTTGATAATTCAAACTTAATCAGAGCGTGTTCTCTGGCTGACTTGTGAAGTAACCATCACCAATAATTCCTTGTTCCAGCCTCTTTTACCACATCTGGTGTCCACTTCTATTTCCCATAATTTCGATAAGGAACCGCTATACCTATCTCAATCTTTCGAGCTGAAGTACGCTTCACTGCTTTCCTCCCCACCGCTAGCGATGACTAGATGAAGTCTGTCCATTGCAGCATGCTATCATACATTGCCATTTATCTATTTCTGAGTTTTCTCCAATTGTTACGTATCTTATTTTTCATTAGGCGAAGAATATTGGAAATAAAAAGTACTTTAAAATTTGTAAAATTCTCGCAATTTGTCAATAAACGTATTATGTTTCAGATTTTCGATAACTCGAAAAAGTAGGCACTTTTGGAGATTATATATATTACTGGAGTTGATCAGCGCAGTAACGCCGCCGCCGCCGCCGCCACCAACGTTCAAATCGGGGGGTAAACGGTGAGGCGAGCGACGGTTAGAGAGTAGTGCACGGAGAGGCCTCGAGTGAAGCACGGACGGGGCAGTGCTGCGTCCAAGAGATTAATTGTCGTTGTTAAGTGCAGTTCGGACTGAGTGTGGAACCAGGTTGATAAGGATTAACAATTAGATGATTAGTGAAAGTGGAATTGCGCACCAGAACTGATAAAAACCAATAAGATAGGAAAGCGTGTGGCCGATGTACTCGTGTCATATTCCCGCCCTGGTATAAGATAACAGTGGGCAGTACTGTACGGACATCCGCGCAAAGTGGAGAAAGGTCGCTGAAAAGACTAGAACTGCCGACGAACATCAATCACGCGTCGTGCGTTCCAGTACCCGTGAGACATTATTCGTACCGGCTGGGGGTGGACCCCGGCGAATTCATCGGCCGTTACGTTGGGGCCAGAGGGGCCAGTTGGTCGCCGAAGGAGGGCGAATTCCCGGCGAACTTCGGGGCGAACCGAAGATTGCCGAAGACACCGCCGCCGTTGCCACGACGGCCCCGGTCACCTCTAGAGGAAGCAGGTGTTTTTTAAAACATCAAGGTAGCGTTGACCGTGCGCTTGTTTCCAAGACCTGCGCATTGTGATTTGTAAATTCTATTTGTAAAGTGTGTTTTCTATCATTAAAATGTTTAAATGTGCAAAAGAATTTATAACGACTATCTTCCTATGCTGCGCCAAATTCCTGGAGACCCATTCACGAAAATGTACCTGTCCCTTGCATAATTTATTTGTCGTGAAAGTACCGCTTCCCAGGTACGTCACAATATATATATAATATATATTATATATATATAATATATTATATATATATAATATATTATATATATAATATATATTTATAATATATTATATATATAATATATTATATATATAATATATAATATATATATAATATTGTAATGGGACGGTCGCATGCGTGTTTCAATATTTTATTCAATGTAACGTTGCTGTGTAAGAGGACATGGAAATGTGAATCTTTCGCTACTTGCGAGGGTGTAGGAAGCGTCGGGGACGCGGAGGCATGTAGCTCCATTGTCTCGACACAGGCGCCGCGACTGCCTTCGCTAACTTACCGGGAAATACGGACGCTGCTGTCTCATAACCTGGCAATTCATCTGTACCTGTTCTTGGAACTCAAGTGATATGTGTGTTTCAACGGAATTTGACAAGGCTAAACGGTCATCAATGACGCAGCGATTGGGCGGAAGAAACAGCGTGACGCGCGCCACCAATCGCGGAAAACGAAGCGGGGAAGGGCCACATGACCCCGCAAACTTTGTGCATGAGTGCCTTTCAGAGGTAGGGATGAGGGCGAGTTTCTTTGGCTTTCGAGGGACCAGTGAATGCGTTACCGCATCGCCGCATCCCGAATGCATCATCGCCAAAGCGCGAGCCGCCTCTGGGGTCGCTAACTCAAGGAAGTACGCCACGGACAATGACTGTGGGTGCTCGCCCTCCGGCCCAGGACTGACGACGGGCCGTGGTGTGAACATCGTGAACTGCCGTGAGCCACGCCGCCGATGCCCGGACCAGGCGTTGTGTAGCCACGCCGCCTGCCGCTCCGACCGCCTTGCTAATGGGCAAAGGGGTGAGGCGAGACA